CCCAGGCTGGAGTACAGTGACACAAACACAGCTCACTGTAACCTCCTCCTGGGCTCAAGTGATCCCCCTGTGAACTTAGCCTCCCACTTAGCTGGGACATGCCTAATTTTCTTTTTCTTTTCTTTTTTTTTTTTTTGGTAGAGATGGGTTCTCACTAAGTTGCCTAGGCTGATCTCGAACTCCTGGGCTCAAGCTCAGCCTCCTAAAGTGCTGAGATTACAGGCGTGAACCACTACACTTAGCTGAATTGAAAGTCTTAATTAGGAAGAATTATAGTTTGAATCTATATGTTATATATTTAAAAAATCATACAGTACAACAGTATAAAATGAAAAGTAAAAAGTCCTTATTCTCCCCATCCTCATTTAACCACTGTTTATAGATCTTGTGAATCCTAGAAATTTTCTGTGTGCATGTATATTTGTGTATGTGGATTTGTGTATGCTTCACTATCTTGATTGCTCTGAACTGAAACTCATTTTTCATCATTTGCTTCTAACATCTGTTATTAATGTCTTTTCTAGTAGACTAACCTTTCAAGATCAGGGACTCCATTTTGTTCCTGGATACATCACTAGTGACTCCTGTACTGCCTGGTACATACAGGTTTTTCTTTCCTGCCTCAGCGTCCCGAGTAGCTGGGACTACAGGTGTGCGCCACCAGACCCAGCTAATTTTTGTATTTCTAGTAGACACGGAGTTTCACCATGTTGGCCAGGCTGGTCTTGAACTCCTGACCTCAAGTAATCCACCCACCTTGGCCCCCCAAAGTGCTGGGATTACAGGCATGAACCACTGCCCCTGGCCTCGGTTTTTCGTGTTTGTTGAATGACTAAATGCAGAAGCTCAGAATAGGGAAAGCAGTTTTAGAGGCTGTGTCCCCAAAACGAAGCTTCCCGAGGCTTGAAAGTGCTGTTCCTTTCTTGGGTTATGCCAAAATGCTGATCCTCTCCATTTTATTATTTAGATAGAAAGGTTGGGGAGAATCCGTTTTCGGGGGAAGGGAACATACCATCAGCAAAAATTAAAGTAAAGGAACATATTTCAAGCGGGGATAGTCTCCAGAATGAAAGAGAGGGGGACGAAAACAAAAACTAGCACGCATGCTACCTCACATATGGGTCTCAGAGCAGAGAAGTCTGTCTCTGCTTCTCATGGTAAGAAAGGAATGTTTTTCACCTTTTGTCGTGTCCCTTGAATAGCTAAGTCTTTATTTAGATATGTAGGGCTCCTGTGTTTTTAGAATTCTGTTGGCCACCTTTTTTTTTTTTTTTTGCCTGAGGTTAATGTTTACAAAATTCCGAGTTAAATTTTTTATTGCCTTTCTTTCCCCTTGTGTTTTACATTTCTCAATAATAGGAACTTAATTTGTCCTGGGGTTCTTTTCTCTTTTTCTAGAGTACAAATCAAATGTCTTCTTTTGAAATTTAATATTGGTTTAAAATATAATTTAGTTGGCAGAACTCAGCTGAGCTGTAATCTATTTGAATCTTTTCCTAATATTAGTGGAATTTCTTAGGTTGAGAGGACTAAGAAGGAGAAAACTGATTTTAAGATTGGTTTTGGGATTCCTGAAATAGGTTTATGACTTGTTTTTCAGCAAGCACTGACATAATATTCTGGTTGTTTTCTTTAAACTGCTTTGGAAAAGTGTCAAAAACTGATATTGATCTTCTTTGCAACTATAAAAGTTAGCTAAAAACTATAACCTTAGTCAGACAGTCTCTGTGCCTCATATCTATGGGATGTTCCAGTCCTCTCATTTGTTTTGCTTTTATAGGAAGCTGCTTCCAAGCTTAAAAACTAAGAAGCCTCGAGAACTTGTGCTAGTGATTGGAACAGGCATTAGTGCTGCAGTTGCACCTCAAGTTCCAGCCCTCAAATCCTGGAAGGGGTTAATTCAGGCTTTACTGGATGCTGCCATTGATTTTGATCTGTTAGAAGATGAGGAGAGCAAAAAGTTTCAGAAGTGTCTCCATGAAGACAAGAACCTTGTCCATGTTGCCCATGACCTCATCCAGAAGCTCTCTCCTGTGAGTACCTTCTTATGTGCCACAGTGTGTGGAATTTCCTAAAATTTGACTATCATAACTAGCATGATTTGGCTGTCACAACTAGCATGCCAAGTGTAGCAGGGATATTCATTTACAGCTTGTAGGTTTCCATAACATTGGGCTCTTCTGCACAGTGTCTATTTATGGACCCTATTCAGGGTAATTATCTTAACCCCATTTCACTGTGTGTCTCTGAGAGAGATGATGTTGAGGACTTTATATGTACAAATCACCGCTGTGTTTTGAATTTATTTTTTTCTGCATCACTACTATAAAAGCTGTGTTCTGTGGCATCCATGCCTTGTATGGAATCCCACAAAGATTGGAGATAATTTTGTCATTTTATAGATGAAACAAAACCAGTTTTTAATGTTCTTTTTAGAGGTAATAACTCAAAATATTTATAAGGAATTGCACCTTATTTTACCAAACTGAGTTGGATAAAAGGACTCCCTGTCTTGCTTTGTCTGAATTTTTTTTTTTTTTTTACAGAGTCTACCTCTGTCACCCAGGCTGAAGTTCAGTGGTTCGATCTCAGCTCACTGCAGCATCTGCCTTCTGGGTTCAAGCGATTCTCCTGTCTCAGCCTCCTGAGTAGCTGGGATTACAGGCATGTGCCACCATGCCCAGCTAATTTTTGTATTTTTAGTAGA